CTGAATTATATCAAACTTTATGTCCATATGACATAACATTTACATGCAAGCTAAAAGAAAGGTGCTCCCCAAGTTTAATGAAGGATAAAATTAAAGGATCACTATAGGGTCAGGAACACAAACATGTATTCCTGACCCTATAGTGAAAACCCACCATTTAGGTGGCTTGCCTCCCCCCCCCTTAGCCCCCTCAGAATGGGTTAAAACTCACCTTATTTTCACCTCTGACCTGCCCCCTTTGTGACATCATCAAAATTGCAGATTTTTAGCCAATTCAATGCTTTCCCATAGGGAAAAGCATTGGATTGGCTAAAATCGGCAAGGGACGGGGCCAAACACTGTTTTGGCCAATCAGCACCTCCTCATAGAGATGCATTGAATCAATGCATCTCTATGAGGAAAATTCAGCTTCCCCATGCAGAACATGGAGACGCTGAATGGCAGGGCTGCTTACTATGCAGCACTGAGCCAGGAAGCCCCTCCACTGGCCATCTGAGGAGTGGCCACTTGGAGGTGTCACTAGGGGCAATCCAAACACTGCCTTTTCTCTGAAAAGGCAGTGTTTGCATGAAAATGCCTGAAGGGAGCTATTATACTCACCAGAACAACTACATTAAGCTGTAGTTGTTCTGGTGACTATAGTGTCCCTTTAATACAGCACACATGTCGGTCTCTTGCCTTTTATCAGGACATATGCATTGATAAAGTGGAAGAGCCTGAAATGTTTGCTGTATTAAGTTTGTCTTTCATTAAACTTGGGGAGCACCTTGGTGTGCACATATAATTCTGGTAGCACAGACCTCCTTTCTTATTGCTTGATTGTGCATTTGTACACTACTGGAACTGCAGTGGGGGTGCTTGCTCTTTACTTTCTCATGATGTTTTGTTAAAGGGACACTATAGGCACCCAGTCCACTTGAGCTGATTGAAGTGGTCTGGGTACAGTGTCCCTATTGCTCTAAGAGAAACGGCAATGTTTGCATTGCAGCACTAAGCCTACCTCCAGTGGCTGTCTCCCAGACAGCCAGTGTAGGCGCTTTCTGCATCCAAACGGACCTTTGGTCATATATCTGACTCTGGACATCTTAATGCTCTATACCTCTTGTTCTGTTAAAGTAACTGCATGACATTTGGAATTCAAATCATATATCCCCATTTTTTAACTGTCTCATAGTTACATCGCTGAAAAGAGACATGCATCCATCATCAGCCTTTCTTACATCTTGTGACGAGAGCAATCTCACCACATTGCATTGGAGAAGCCTGGTTGCTCGCCTGTTGCCTTTGGATTATGGCCCCATGTTAAAAGGCTTGATTTTCCCCTGCAAAGACAAGAAAGCCGGGTCATTTGGTGCTTGCCCTGTTTGAGCAGTGATACCCCAGATAGCTATGCCATGGAGCCCATTCGTATAATGAAAGACTATGGGAAAGACTTTGGCTCCATGGCAATTGAACTGTATGTGTGTGCTCTGAGCGCCATTCAGTAATAATGTGCGCTCAGACCTAAGCTATCTGGGCATATGTTGCATGTCTGTATTTTATGTCATAAATGTAACCTCGTGTATTTTATTGTATTTTTGCTGCTGCCATGTGTTCAATGGAGTTTTGCCTCTGTCTTTGGAGATAATTGGATTACTTCTAATTATCTCCAGGATAGAAGACTCTGTGGAACTGGTTTTGGGCAGAAAAACCATGCTTCCTGTGGTCACAAAGGACTACGATATATCTTTTGAACCACTGGACCAATTTGTATGATGTATGTTTATATTAGGAGTATGCTGATTCTGAAAATGTAAAATGTTTTATGTAAATGTGATGCATACTTTGCAAGTTATGAATAATGTGGAAAAATTGTATTTCTCTGCTTGTGCTAAATTACATTACCCATTGTGTAAGGTAATTGAATCACATGCAGAGGGGAGGAATTTGTGTGGGAGTGTCTGATAGTGATGTCGCAAACCGTTCGCGAACTTGCCGCGAATTTGCCGCGGTTTCGCCACGAACCGTTCGCGGCGAACTCCGGTCAGCTGACACATCCCTGCCAATCTTGTTGAAGCTGCCTTCAACATGGATGCTGTCCAGGAAGTAGGAGGGTCTGGGAGGGAGGATCTGCCGGAGATTGGCAGGGATGTGTCAGCTGACCGGAGTTCGCCACGAACGGTTCGTGGCGAACCGTTCGCGGCAAGTTCGCGAACGGTTCGCAACATCACTAGTGTCTGAGTGAATTGTATGTGTTTATTGGTTGTGTTCCAAAACCCTGTGGATGGTACTAATGTGTAAGAATGTGTACATAAGCTTGACCCTCAACACGGAGCTTTGTCTCGTTCTTGGGGGGATTTATTGTATGCTGTTCCAATTCGACTGCTAGGAATGTAAACCTATCCGTATGGTTTTTCCTATTCGGCTGTTTACAGCATTCGTATGGTTTCCTGTTCGGCGGATTGGTGGTCTGCAGTAGCTTTGCCTGCATCTCTGGAAAGGGGGACGATCGCCTAAACGGTTTTTACCCCTTGTGTGCAAAACGGTCCGTTACACATCTGTTTTTGCTCTTGATCAAAAAAAGGCAAAAGAAGAGTGCTTCCAATTTTGAAAAAAACTATGAAAAAATAAAGTTTTGACCCAGAATTCAAACCTATATTCCTAACTTTATAGTGCCCTCTTGTCCCTAACGCTATTAGATGCCCCACCCACTTTCGGAATAGAAAAGATTAAAAACCTTTTTACACTTACCTTGTTCCAATGCTGAGGCTCCCTCACTGCTGCTTAGCTCTCTTCCTCCCAGCGATATCTAAGAGGACCTAATACATTTGTGTGCAAGTGCCGCAGTTGCAATCAAACTTTCCCATACGAAAGTATTGAATAAATGCTTTCCTGTAAGGCTTACGCGTCATGTGGCAGAATTGTAATCAATCAGTCCAGCTGAAGAACCTCTAGTGGCAGTCATTTTGACAGCTGCTAGAGCTGACTTAACGTTAATGTAAAAAAAATCTCAAAAGGGCAGTGTTTTACATTGTAGGGTTAAGAGGAAAAGGATACTGCACCCAGACCACTTCATTGTTAATTGAACTTTTATCACACAAGCGAGCCTGATGTAGGCACTATCAAGCCATTAACAGAGTAGGAGACAAGAACTTTTAAATTAAACACACTGTGCAATAAAGGAAGTTAAGGGTAATTATCACTTCTTTTTTTTTAATGGTATGTTTACTTATCCCTACATTTAATTAAGCTTCTCTGTTTCCTTCCACTGTTCGGTTCTTTTACATACCACCTTTACTAGCTTATTTCAACATCTTATCCATCAATGTATAATGCTATGATATCCCTTCTGAGGCACTGTTTTTTTGAATTTAAGAGATTTAAATTTGTTAACCTTTCTTTATAAACAACATTTTCAATTCCTTTTAATAATTTTGTAGCACACCTCTGCACTTTTACTAGGAGCATAATATCCTTCTTTAGAGCAGGAACCCCAAATTGCACAGCATATTTAAGGTGTGGTCTTACCTGTGATTTATATTGAAACTAAATTATATTTTCATCTTGAGACTGAATGTCCATATTTATACGCAACAACATCTTACTGGCCTTAGCAACTGCCCAATGGCATTGTAGCCTAGTTTGTTGTCTATAAAAATTCCCAAATCTGCTGTGTGTGTTGTTATCTCTAGTTCACTACCATTTATGTTTTAAGTTGCTTGGGCATTCTTTATCCCGAAGTGCATAATTTAAATTTTTCTATGTTAAATTTCATCTGCCATTTGAGTGCCCAGCCACCCAATTAATCTAAATCCATCTGCAGCAAAGTAATATACTGCTCACATTGTATTACTTTACAGAGATTTGTGTCATCTGCAAAGACTGAAGCATGACTTTTAAGGCATATTTCAGATCATTTATATTTATGTAAAATAGAAGCGGTCCCAGGACATAACCCTGAGGGGCACTACTTACCACTTTTATCCAGCTTGAAAATTCACCATTAATGGCAACTCTCTGTACTCTATCTTTAAACCAATGTTCTACCAAGCAACAAGAATTTTCATCCAGCTCAATTTCCTTTAGCTTGAACGCTAACCTATTGTGAGGAACCATATCACAAGTAGATGACATCCAATCACATGGCCGGAATAGCCGGCTTGAGCAGTGCCTGCAGGGGGGCTGCCTGATAGTGCCTGGAAAAAGGTTTTAAAAGTTAGTCAAAGTTAAATAAAAGCTTTTAAAGTAAATAAAAAGTACTTAGAACATATATACATATGATCTATGTACTTTTACATGCACATAAACACACATACACCATTATTTAAAGTGTATTTTAATATTAATTTTATATATATATATATATATATATATATATATTAAAATACACTTAGAATGACGTTACATATATATGCCAAGCTATTTACTTTTTATTTATATATATATTGTGACATACTTACTTCCCTGTGTGTGTTTGTCCAGGATCTTTTGGCAACTGTACAGCCCTCTAGGGTAAGTAAGCCAGGCCAAGACAAAGTCCAGTTTCAAAGGCCTCTGACCTGTTTATTATCTGTTGGTAAGAAGTAACTGGATACAACAGGTTACAACAGGATACAACGGGATACAACAAGCATCAAACCTTGTTTCTATTCAAAACACTGTGATACAGACTGAAACGTTGATTTTTATTTTGAGCTAATAAAAGCTAAGTTTTATTCATTCAACTTGGAAGTCCCTGGAGTGCTATCTTGTACTTTTGGCTGTATCTGTTTGCTGATAAGCACCGGGCAAGTACATCAAGGAAGGTGGAGTGCATTACTATTTTTGTTTTATATATATATATATATATATATAAAAATAGTTCCAAAGATAGCACTCCAGGGACTTGTAAAAATTAACTTTTATTACCTTCGCTAAAACATCCAAAGTGTCAACGTTTCAGCCTGATACCCTCAAGCTTTCGTCAGGACATACTACGTGTACAAATAAACCCACATTTATACCATAACAATAATAATAACTCACCACACTTTTAACACGTCTGACTCCATGGATGCCCGGACCGGGACTGCCGCGGGCTGCCCGACGTACGTCTGCAGCCGCACGGCGTCACGCTCAATGACGCGGCCAGGGGTCATCACCATGACAACCTATAACAACAAATGTGATGTAACACACTAATCTGATGTTAAAAACAATGTATCCACTGTTTGACGCTAGACTCCTGGGGATTTAATGATTCAAACGGTTATGCAGCATAAAGAAGCTGACAATTATGTTATTTAAACAGTACTTAATATACATATTGAACTTGACAGCTGAAACAAATATCTAAAAGATTAACCATAGCTACCAATCACTTTGAGGTTTATGAAATCAGGCTTGTCAGACAAAGGAAATAGATGTCTATACAAATCTCAAGAGAGAAATATTAAATCAAAGGACCCTGAAAATTAAATAAATTGCTTACCTAACTATAAAACATCACATGTGTATCACAGAACTAACACATTAAGTTATTCATAAAGCAAAATACAGAACTGAATAACCGTGGCCCCATGGTCACAATGAAATCGGACCCTCATGGAATATTAAATAGGGGGGTTGTGATATATTAGAACATGCCGCATCTTAAACTCCATAAATACAACCCTATTGAATGCTAAACATCCAACAAGGGCATCCCTCTAATAAAATGCAGATAATCAAAAGAATTAAAGAATGTCTCATAAAGACTCAATCTACCATAGTTGCTGTGGGTGAATGAAAGGGTTGCCTATCCCACTGGGTGGGCACCCAATACTCACCCCAAAACAATAACAAAAAAATGAATATACACAGTGGCGAGAGAAATATAGACATGTATGCCTATCCCCCAGGGTGGGCATCACATAATTCATTTCATTGCCATTATAGAAATGCAGACAAGGTATATTTCTCATTGAGACCTTCTGGATATACTGTTCTCAATGTTCTGATCCAATAAAGTTCTCGTTGTAGCAACATTTTCTTACGGTCGCCTCCCCTCCAAAGAGGTGGTATATTGCCATGAGTTTTAAAGTCGGGAGCGTATGTCCTTTCTTCAAAAAATATTTAGCCACAGGTAAATCCGATTTCTGATCTCTATACGCCACCCTTATACTGGATCTATGGTTGCGAATACGTTCGCGCAGGGGCAGATCCGTCTTGCCAATATACGTAAGCCCGCAAGGGCAGGTTAGCTTATATATTACAAAATCAGTAGTGCAAGTTAAACGATGTCTAATGATGTACTTCTTTCCTGTATGAGGATGGGTGAACGATTTGCCAGATAGCATGTGCCCACAAGTGACACAGCCCAAGCACTTATAACAGCCCAAATTGATAAAGCCCTGTTTATCCTCATAACAGTGTATGGGGTCCGTCTTTACTAACAAATCCTTAAGATTTTTGTTTCTCCTGTAGCACATCATGGGTGGTTGACGGAATGTTTCTGGTAAAGACATATCATTCCTCAAAATTCTCAAATTTTTCTCAATCATTTGCTTAAATTGTGGAGATGCTGTAGTGTACGTTGTCGGAAAAACCAATCTCTTTATCGATGGAGTTTCTAATGTGGCTTGTGCTGAATAGCACTTATCAAGAGCTTTACGTAGTACACAATCACTGTAGCCACGTCGTTGGAACTTTTCCCACATAAGGCCCAATTGTTCCTCGGCCTTGCCCGGGTCCGAGTTATTTCTCATGACCCTAAGAAATTGAGAGTATGGTAGAGATTGTTTGAGAGCATTAGGATGAAAACTGTTAGCCTGAAGTAAAGTGTTGCGGTCAGTTGATTTTGTAAAAAGCGTGTATGCCAACTTATTGCCTTCTCGTATAATCCGTACATCTAGGAAATCCACTGTAAGTGGGTCCATTGTCATGGTTAACTGTACATTCGGTGTACATGAATTAATGTATTGGACCATGGATTCTGCACTACTGTTGTCGCCTTTAATGATCATAAAGATATCGTCGATATAGCGACCGTATGATAGAATGATATCTTTAAATGGTTCCAATATATGTTGGGTTTCAAATTCAAACATGTATCCATTTGCATACATTGGAGCCATGGCTGCACCCATAGATGTACCTGCTGACTGTCTGTACCAATCAAGTTCAAAACGAAAATAATTTTGTGTCAAAACCAGTTCCAAAATTTCCATGACGTATTCAATTGGAGTTCCCATATACTTGTCTGAGGATGTAAGAATCTGTTTCATAGCCTGAACCCCCCCTGTATGGGGTATGATCGTATACAAACTCTTGACGTCACAAGTGACTAGTGTTATCAGACCAGTCGGTAAGGATAGTGTAGAGATCATTCTGATGAAGCTTGGAGTGTCCTTAATGTACGTTGGTAGACTTTCAATTGTTTTCTTAAACAGGAAATCTAACCACTTCGCCAAGGGTTCTAAAATGCCCCCCACAGCCGACACAATTGGTCTCCCCGGGGGATCCTGAAGATTTTTATGGATCTTGGGGAGTGTGTAGATCACTGGTGTCCTCGGGTTCGATTGATGTAAAAATTCCCAAAGGTCCTGGTCGATAAACTTCTGTTCCAGACCCTTTAGTAGAATTGCATCTATCAGGAGCTTGACTTGAGGTGTAGGGTCACAACTTAATTTTAAAGAAGTGTGGAAATCAGATAATTGTTGTATAATTTCCAATCTATATTTCATATAGTCTTGGATAACAATCCCCCCACCTTTGTCTGCTGACCTGATAACGATGTTTTTGTCCGTAGCCAAGGACTTAATGATTTCCCAATCCAATTTTGAGCAATTAGAATGATGGGAAGGGGTAATTTTCAAATAATCCGTAGTTTCCTTTTGTACTGATCTTAAAAAACTTTTTATAGTGGCTTGATTTGGCAAGGGGTCAAACATACTTTTTTTCTTGAACTTGCTGTTGTAATCATCTGGAAGAATGGCTTTATTCTTAAAGAAATCCTTTAATCGCAATGATCTACCAAATTTATATAGTTCAACAACCCAATCTAATGGATTAGGTTTGGCAGTGGGTACAAATGACAAACCTTTGCTAAGTAGAGTGGTTTCGGCCACTGTTAAAATTCGGGAGGATAAATTGAAAATGGGCATTATCTCCTCTGACGTGGTGGTCTCCCTCTTCCCCCAGAAGGTACGTCCCTTCTGTCCTCGTCTCGTAATTGTCCTCCTTCTGATGAAGTGATCTTGCTCTGATGTCTGGTCCGTATCCCCGGATTGGCAGGGTTTGAATCTTCTAAAAAAGATTGGGCTTGGGAATTGCTAATCACTCTTTCCCTGTCCCAACTGCTCTGTTCAGATTCTGAACTGGAATTACCTGAAGTCTTATCTATGGTGTAGTGTCTAGGTTTACGGATAGGTCTTCTCTTTCTTGCAAATCTAGGCAAGTCACTGGTGCCACTGAGCCACTTATATACTCTGTGCTCCTTATAATCTGCTGTCACTTTTTCTTGCTTATCCTTTTTAAATCTAATAAGATCCGTCTTGTAGTTCTTTATATTGTTTTCCAATTTTAGCAGCGTGGATGTAGCTTCTGGACTTGCCAATAACATTGCCTGTCTAGTTTCCAATTCGGTAATTCTTCTCCTAATTAGAATCAAATCCTCCTTCACATCTTCTATAATCACTAACATCAGATCTAGTGAACATTTATTCAGAACTGAAATCCACTTCTTGCATACCCCTGGTTTCAATCTCCCAATCGTGGGTACATTGCTTACCCTAAAACCCCTTGGGATCTGCAATTTCCGATGATAGTCGGATAAAAAATAAACCGTGAAGGTCCAAATCAGTCTCTCTCTTCTTTAGCCTCATTAGTTCAAAATATATGTCACGTAATGATGTTGTATTGGGGAGATCTGAAGTAGAGGTTTCCCATCTAATCCTATCCGCATCAGAATCGCTGTATTGCCAGATTTCTGCCTGTTCAGCACATCCACCAGCTAGCGTGAAAAAATCATCCATGGATACAAAAACACTGAATAGTGTATCCAGCAAAACAAATAAAAATAGAGATATCGTACTCCACAATGACAATCAAAAAAATGTGGAGTACGATATCCCTATTTTTATTTGTTTTGCTGGATACACTATTCAGTGTTTTTGTATCCATGGATGATTTTTTCACGCTAGCTGGTGGATGTGCTGAACAGGCAGAAATCTGGCAATACAGCGATTCTGATGCAGATAGGATTAGATGGGAAACCTCTACTTCAGATCTCCCCAATACAACATCATTACGTGACATATATTTTGAACTAATGAGGCTAAAGAAGAGAGAGACTGATTTGGACCTTCACGGTTTATTTTTTATCCGACTATCATCGGAAATTGCAGATCCCAAGGGGTTTTAGGGTAAGCAATGTACCCACGATTGGGAGATTGAAACCAGGGGTATGCAAGAAGTGGATTTCAGTTCTGAATAAATGTTCACTAGATCTGATGTTAGTGATTATAGAAGATGTGAAGGAGGATTTGATTCTAATTAGGAGAAGAATTACCGAATTGGAAACTAGACAGGCAATGTTATTGGCAAGTCCAGAAGCTACATCCACGCTGCTAAAATTGGAAAACAATATAAAGAACTACAAGACGGATCTTATTAGATTTAAAAAGGATAAGCAAGAAAAAGTGACAGCAGATTATAAGGAGCACAGAGTATATAAGTGGCTCAGTGGCACCAGTGACTTGCCTAGATTTGCAAGAAAGAGAAGACCTATCCGTAAACCTAGACACTACACCATAGATAAGACTTCAGGTAATTCCAGTTCAGAATCTGAACAGAGCAGTTGGGACAGGGAAAGAGTGATTAGCAATTCCCAAGCCCAATCTTTTTTAGAAGATTCAAACCCTGCCAATCCGGGGATACGGACCAGACATCAGAGCAAGATCACTTCATCAGAAGGAGGACAATTACGAGACGAGGACAGAAGGGACGTACCTTCTGGGGGAAGAGGGAGACCACCACGTCAGAGGAGATAATGCCCATTTTCAATTTATCCTCCCGAATTTTAACAGTGGCCGAAACCACTCTACTTAGCAAAGGTTTGTCATTTGTACCCACTGCCAAACCTAATCCATTAGATTGGGAGGTTGAACTATATAAATTTGGTAGATCATTGCGATTAAAGGATTTCTTTAAGAATAAAGCCATTCTTCCAGATGATTACAACAGCAAGTTCAAGAAAAAAAGTACGTTTGACCCCTTGCCAAATCAAGCCACTATAAAAAGTTTTTTAAGATCAGTACAAAAGGAAACTACGGATTATTTGAAAATTACCCCTTCCCATCATTCTAATTGCTCAAAATTGGATTGGGAAATCATTAAGTCCTTGGCTACGGACAAAAACATCGTTATCAGGTCAGCAGACAAAGGTGGGGGGATTGTTATCCAAGACTATGTGAAATATAGATTGGAAATTATACAACAATTATCTGATTTCCACACTTATTTAAAATTAAGTTGTGACCCTACACCTCAAGTCAAGCTCCTGATAGATGCAATTCTACTAAAGGGTCTGGAACAGAAGTTTATCGACCAGGACCTTTGGGAATTTTTACATCAATCTAACCCGAGGACACCAGTGATCTACACACTCTCCAAGATCCATAAAAATCTTCAGGATCCCCCGGGGAGACCAATTGTGTCGGCTGTGGGGGGCATTTTAGAACCCTTGGCGAAGTGGTTGGATTTCCTGTTTAAGAAAACAATTGAAAGTCTACCAACGTACATTAAGGACACTCCAAGCTTCATCAGAATGATCTCTACACTATCCTTACCGACTGGTCTGATAACACTAGTCACTTGTGACGTCAAGAGTTTGTATACGATCATACCCCATACAGATTCTTACATCCTCAGACAAGTATATGGGACCTCCAATGGAATACGTCATGGAAATTTTGGAACTGGTTTTGACACAAAATTATTTTCGTTTTGAACTTGATTGGTACAGACAGTCAGCAGGTACATCTATGGGTGCAGCCATGGCTCCAATGTATGCAAATGGATACATGTTTGAATTTGAAACCCAACATATATTGGAACCATTTAAAGATATCATTCTATCATACGGTCGCTATATCGATGATATCTTTATGATCATTAAAGGCGACAACAGTAGTGCAGAATCCATGGTCCAATACATTAATTCATGTACACCGAATGTACAGTTAACCATGACAATGGACCCACTTACAGTGGATTTCCTAGATGTACGGATTATACGAGAAGGCAATAAGTTGGCATACACGCTTTTTACAAAATCAACTGACCGCAACACTTTACTTCAGGCTAACAGTTTTCATCCTAATGCTCTCAAACAATCTCTACCATACTCTCAATTTCTTAGGGTCATGAGAAATAACTCGGACCCGGGCAAGGCCGAGGAACAATTGGGCCTTATGTGGGAAAAGTTCCAACGACGTGGCTACAGTGATTGTATACTACGTAAAGCTCTTGATAAGTGCTATTCAGCACAAGCCACATTAGAAATTCCATCGATAAAGAGATTGGTTTTTCTGACAACGTACACTACAGTATCTCCACAATTTAAGCAAATGATTGAGAAAAATTTGAGAATTTTGAGGAATGATATGTCTTTACCAGAAACATTCCGTCAACCACCCATGATGTGCTACAGGAGAAACAAAAATCTTAAGGATTTGTTAGTAAAGACGGACCCCATACACTGTTATGAGGATAAACAGGGCTTTATCAATTTGGGCTGTTATAAGTGCTTGGGCTGTGTCACTTGTGGGAAAGGACATACGCTCCCGACTTTAAAACTCATGGCAATTGATCATATACCACCTCTTTGGAGGGGAGGCGACCGTAAGAAAATGTTGCTACAACGAGAACTTTATTGGATCAGAACATTGAGAACAGTATATCCAGAAGGTCTCAATGAGAAATTTACCTTGTCTGCATTTCTATAATGGCAATGAAATGAACTATGTGATGCCCACCCTGGGGGATAGGCATACATGTCTATATTTCTCTCGCCACTGTGTATATTCATTTTTTTGTTATTGTTTTGGGGTGAGTATTGGGTGCCCACCCAGTGGGATAGGCAACCCTTTCATTCACCCACAGCAACTATGGTAGATTGAGTCTTTATGAGACATTCTTTAATTCTTTTGATTATCTGCATTTTATTAGAGGGATGCCCTTGTTGGATGTTTAGCATTCAATAGGGTTGTATTTATGGAGTTTAAGATGCGGCATGTTCTAATATATCACAACCCCCCTATTTAATATTCCATGAGGGTCCGATTTCATTGTGACCATAGGGGCCACGGTTATTCAGTTCTGTATTTTGCTTTATGAATAACTTAATGTGTTAGTTCTGTGATACACATGTGATGTTTTATAGTTAGGTAAGCAATTTATTTAATTTTCAGGGTCCTTTGATTTAATATTTCTCTCTTGAGATTTGTATAGACATCTATTTCCTTTGTCTGACAAGCCTGATTTCATAAACCTCAAAGTGATTGGTAGCTATGGTTAATCTTTTAGATATTTGTTTCAGCTGTCAAGTTCAATATGTATATTAAGTACTGTTTAAATAACATAATTGTCAGCTTCTTTATGCTGCATAACCGTTTGAATCATTAAATCCCCAGGAGTCTAGCGTCAAACAGTGGATACATTGTTTTTAACATCAGATTAGTGTGTTACATCACATTTGTTGTTATAGGTTGTCATGGTGATGACCCCTGGCCGCGTCATTGAGCGTGACGCCGTGCGACTGCAGACGTACGTCGGGCAGCCCGCGGCAGTCCCGGTCCGGGCGTCCATGGAGTCAGACGTGTTACAAGTGTGGTGAGTTATTATTATTGTTATGGTATAAATGTGGGTTTATTTGTACACGTAGTATGTCCTGACGAAAGCTTGAGGGTATCAGGCTGAAACGTTGACACTTTGGATGTTTTAGCGAAGGTAATAAAAGTTAATTTTTACAAGTCCCTGGAGTGCTATCTTTGGAACTATTTTTGTATTTTGGCTGACAAGCACCGGGCATCAAATAATTTAAAAAGGTGGAGTGCAAGATTCTTTTGTTTTTTTATATATATATATATATATATATATATATATATATATATATATATATATATATATATATATATATATATAGAAAGAGTGAGTGCTAAACTATTATCTTCTCTCTATATATATATATATATATATACATATATATATATATATATATATTTGTGGTCGGGGCCATTTCAGTATAGTATGAAATAGCTATTGAATATACGTAAAACAATAATCAAAAGTCGGTAGAGGTGTGCCGAAACCGACGTGTGTGGTAGGCCTGTAAATAAGTGGGCCTACCTTAAATAGTATTGAATAGAGGGAGAGGAGGGTGGGCCAGAAGTACGTCTGGACCAGTAGGTAAGTTAGGTAGGAGGGGGAGTCCCTTTTAAATGGACATAGCCCCTCCCACAACTTCAGGTCCTGCCTTCCAATTTGTGGTCGGGGCCATTTCAGTATAGTATGAAATAGCTATTGAATATACTTAACACAATAATCAAAAGTCGGTAGAGGTGTGCCGAAACCGACGTGTGTGGTAGGCCTGTAAATAAGTGGGCAAAAAGGATAGTGTAATCCAAGATGTTTTTTACGAAAACACAAGACATGGAGTTAGCGTATTACAGTGACATTTCACAAATGCATTCCTTAATTCCTGTGTCGGCTGAGGTATGCGTTGTTGGTGGGGTAGTACTGAATAAGTACCTCGTGACCCCTCTGGCTGTTATTAGTTGATGGTAAGTTAATAAGTAGTGCTCCTGTATTTGTACAGGTTAGAATACCATAGGCAAAGCTTGGACTCGTGTTGCCCTATGATGGTAAATTCTCTGGTCTGGTTCTCTGGTCGTGGGAAACCATAAAAGCCAAGTATATGGCAGTTTTGAGAATGGGGTTTGTAACTGAGAACATGTGGTATAGAATGCCCGGGAGATATTACTTAATAGTGTTGTGTGACATTTATTTGATGTGGCAAAAATTGGCGAAAGCCCCCAACGTTGTATACTTGAACCCGTTTGTAAGGTGGTGATCTGACATGAAATATATGCAGTAAGCTCTATCATAGCAGTGCGTTTCTTTGAGGGCCCCCTACGTGAATTCCTGCTGTGACTTAGCAACTCTTCTATTCCATAAGTAATTCTTGGAGCTGGGGAGCAATCGTGGCCATCAGTGAGGCCGTTGTTAGGGACCTCCTGAACGCCTGAAACTGAAGACTAGATAACTGATCAGCAGCTGTATTGTAAATGCCTGGTACGTGGTAACATACCAGATAAAATTGGTGACAGGCTTCCCCTACATTAGTTGTCTGATGAATTCATAATAAGGGATACAAGACCGGACTGGTTTATGACGTGGTCCATTGCCAACTTGGCAGAGACCCCATGTTGCAGCTGTGGCTACGATGGGATATACCTGTGAATCGTGCAGAGTTTTGAGGAACCCTTTGATCTGGCTTACTTCGTCCGGCCACCTACCCCCATAGCCAACAGTCCCCTGAGATTGCAAGAAGGCTTTTGTAAACCATTGCCTCAGGGTGACTACATATGCAGACGACCCTAGTTAAAGACATATATATATGTATAGGGAAGAGACACCTAAACCTGGGTAAGTTCCCGCTGGGCGTCCTTCCGCTAGAAGAACCTGAAATATGTATGAAGTATGTGGGACATTCTAGTTCACCAGCAGGAACTAATATTGGAGATCACGTAAGTGTCTGTGACTGTAGTTGTAAATGCAGAGAAAGGCCGTATAGGGAGCAATTGAGTAGCCTAACATGACCTTGGTCGTATGGAATTGCACAAATGTGGGGCCGAAATGGAGTCTTAATGGATTGCTCGTGGTGGGTTGAGTGTACCATGAGTGATGGCCTAGTGGGGGCCCTGTGTAGAGGCATGCTGTGGTAGGTTGTGACAAAATTGCAACTTATGTCAAAATTATAATTCTAATG